CCATCTAATAGGACTCTTAATGTTTCCGTTAACTACTACTCTGTTTCTCCCTTCGTAGACATGCTATGAAAACTTAGTCTGCACTCACCTCCCCTTCCTGGCTTCCTCTTCATTCCTCCACTCCTACATTCTAGTTTCCACTAAATGGGCTTTCAATGAAGTCACAATGATTGCATTCTTGCCAAATGCTGTAAATAGGTTGTGTTTCTGATCTTTTCCATTGCACTCCCTCCTTTGTGAAACTCTATTCTCCCTTGCCTGGCATTTGTGACTCAGCCCATTTGATTTTCCAGGTGCTGCTCTGGCTTCTCAGGCTCCCAGGCTTTTGTCCATCCTTAAAAGATGAAGTTCCTCGTGGCTCTACCTTCAAACACCTTATTGCTCTTTTCACATGCCCTGGTGATCTGTGCTGTGGAGATCCAAATCTACTTCTTCAGCCCTGTTCAATCCCCCAATTTCTAGAAGTTGTGAGACTTGTGCCTATTAGACATCTTCACCTGGACATTTTACAAACATTGAAATTGAATGGATTATTTCCCTCGCCAACTTGACACCTCTTCCCATTTTCCTCAAATTGCTGAGCAACATCATCAGTTCTCCAAAACTGGAATCTTACTCTCAACCCCTAACGTTCAATGGATTACCACTGCATTGATCCTGTCTCCTAAAAATGTCTTCAGCCCTTCCCCTCTTTGTCATTGCCAGGGTTGATCTCTTGGCTCAAGTCCTCAAAATTCCTTGAAGTTATCATACCTCTCTCTCCTATCTGGTCTCCCTTTCTCTAAATCCAATCTCTTACAGTCGCTTTACAAAGGCTCCAGAGCGGTGCTGCCCATTAGAACTTTCTGCTTGGAAATGCCCCATGTCTGCACTATCCCATATGGGGTGGCTATTGAGTACCTTGAAATGTGGCTATTGTGACAGAGAAATTGACTTTTTAATTTTATTTCATTTTAATAATATTAATTTTGATTTAACAGACAACACAGTGCTAGAAACTAGCACATTAGCCTGTACAACTTTGGAATGGTCTTCTTTAATCACAAATTTATTTATTATGCTCCTCTTTATTTTAAAGATAAACCCATTCTCCTCAACATATATGGCTGAATTTATTAGCTACACTGCATTTATGGCCCTACCCCCCTGCCACCTTCTAACATCACTTCCAAACTCACAAGTCCTCGGTATCAGCCACATGAAACAAGTCTGTATGACACTACACACCTCCTCGCTGTGTACAAGCTGCTGTCACCAGCTGAACACCCTTTCTCTCTCTTCCCCACCTGCCTTACTCATCCACCAAGCAGCAAATCCTCTGGCCTCCCAACCATTCCTCGCACCTCCCTGACACCCTCTACCAAAAGTGTCCCGCTCTTTAGCACGTCCCCGTAAGCATGCCACTATTCATACTGCTATCATACATTTATCACACTGTACTTGGTGCTCCTCAAGGGTGAAAATTAGATTTTTTTAATGATGTCACCATTCTCTACCAAAGGTTTGCAAATAGCTGTTCAGTCCCAGCTTCTAGGTAGCTACCAGGATAAACTTCCTTAAACATTATTCCTATTACGAATCATTAATAGATCAAATCCAAATCCTTCATTCAAAATCTTCAAGCGGAGAGATCTATTGCTCAATAATTCCCTTCACAACCTCTTCCTTGGGCTAGGCCTTGGTTTTTATAATGTCTACATATGATTTGAACATTCCACATCCCTCGTGTGCCTCTTTAGCAACTTATACCAGCATTGCCCTTTTATTTCTCTGCCAGTCCATGTCTATTACTTTCTTCGAGAACCAAGGAAGAGTTTGCCCCAAGCAAGAGCCTTCTTTGACTAATGTCACACTGACCTAACTCCACCTGCATACATAATTAGCCCTCCACGATCTTGGCTGTGCTCTGGGATCATTAATTGTGTGCTGTCTTCTGAACTAGACAGTCCATTCTTGGAGGGCAAACACTGAGTCCTCTGCTTGCTTTGCTGTACCTGCAGCATTCTCTACCATGCTGTGCACTTATCAGGCACTGAAGAAACATATATTGAAGGTTGTATGAAATCTTAAAGATGATGTTTGCTATTTTTATGAATTCCAAAAACAATCATTCCTAACTCTTGCATTTTCAGGATCCCAATAAATGTGTCTTATTTTTGAAGTACTATCTACATATTAAAGGGAAAATTTAAAAAAGTAAAACAAATAGAAGCCATGGAGTTTTTTTCCACCCAAGAAGGGTATAGTGTAATAAAACAAATAATTTTAGGAGGTTGTAACTCAAAATGTTGGGAATCCCCTGTCCTACGTAGATGACATGAATAATGCTTTAAAATTAAAGACCTGAGCATTTTTTAAAAGTGAAATGATAAAAGGATAATCATTGCTTCTCGACTGCTGTCAGAGGCTAGTTACCACCTGTTTCCTGATTGGGAATCAATTGTTTAGCCAGTGAGGGTGGCTACAGTCACTGTGATTTGACCACACCCCTAGACATTTTCACACCAGCAAGGACAAACGTCCCCAGTGTGCCAGGATCTTGTCTGAACTTAGCTGACATAAGAAATATAAAACCCCACTTATGGATGTCAGGATTTTGAAGCTGTGATTTCTACTTTGATGTTAGAATACTACACAGAGCATCCATTCCAATATATTAGTTAAAGTTAATAGAAAATAAATTCCTAGCTTTCAATCTTCAGATACGAATTTCATGCTTAATTCTCCTTCTCCCACCTGGCCATGAAAAAGATGTTACCTAAAGTATTAAAGGTCAAAGAAAAGGTCTCCAAATACACCAGACTCTTTAATAGACAAGAAGGCACCTGACATTTTAAGCTGCATTCTCTAGAGAGAGAATGAAAGACAGTCTTTCAAATCGTTTTCAAGGAATGAATTGCTTTCTATTTTTCAACTTTTAATTAATTCATTTATGTATGTATTGAGTCCTTAGATCTTCATTAAAGTTAATGAACAACTTAATTCTTAATAATCTAATCATTTGAATGCATGAAATGATATGTTTTAGTTACAGAAATTAACAAGGAAAATTTGTAATGTGTACATCATGTCAGTTTTCTACAGCACATCAGTAGCTTAAAAAGCCATTGATTGAAAAGTGAATTAGAGAAAAGAGCCACTAATGTAAGATCCAAGAGGATTTTAATCCTAATTTCTTATCTTTTATGGGACATCTAGCCAGGCTTTTCTAATTTTCTTTTTAGACGAGATTCTGTACTCATGATTTTTGCTTCAAAGGGTTCAAAAGGGTTAATTCAAAACGTGTATGGTATAAATAGCCTGGAAACTGCAAAGTATATTTCATTTAGTTGAGCAATAAATAATGTGGTAGATATTTTATAAAAGTAAGAATAATCCCTGTTTATCACATAATAAAATTAATCATGCCAGCATCGCTTACCGTGAGCCACACCTCTGCAAAGCACTTTGCCTCATTTAATTCTCTTAATAAGTTAAAAGAATTAGAAAAATATTTGATTATCCCTATTTTTCAGAGGAAGAACTGGAGCTTAGAAATATTAATTAGCTCAAATATGTCTCCAAATGCCTCTCACATACAAATCTTGAAATCTCCTTCTTCCCATCCTCTAATCTCATAGAAGCCTGAATAGCTTCTTTATATTCATCCATTCATTCAAAAAATATTCATCAAATGCTTTTTAAGTACCCTGCACTGTTCTAGGTGCTGAGGACGTGCTGGGCGTGGGGGAAAAAAAAAAATCCCTGCCCTCAGAGAGGCATTCTACTAACAGAGACAGTCAATAAAAAAAATGCAGAATAAGTCAGATAATAAGTACTAGGAAGAAGAATATTATTGCAGATTAATAGGATGGTGAGGGTAACGGGGTTGGGTGCTAGTTTAGACGGGGACCAACATGCTTATAGACCCTACAGAACCCACTCCCTGTCTCCACACCTTTTCCTTGTCAGTTCCCCAGCCCCACCTCCTTCCTTACCGTTCCTGACATCCAAAACTAATAGTTAGATAAGTAATAGTAAAAATTCTAAGAACAGATTCTGGTTTTGAATTTCAAAAACAACCTCCAAATTAAAAAATAGAAACAGAGTCAAATAGAGTAGAATGAATGGAAATTTTCATGCCTCTGGAAAAGAATAGTTTCAAAATCATTTTTAAAAATAATCAAATTTTCATTAAATCATTTCTAAAACTTCTATGCTGTTATTTCTACCCATCCTTCATGTCTATCTGATTGTCAACATACTTTTAGCAGAGAAAGAAAAGGCCTTTATATGTTCTTACCATTTTTATTGACAGTTTTAGGACAGTTCGGTGTCTCAGGAAGAAAATCCTTTCCTTGGCCAGGCACGGTGGCTCTCGCCTGTAATCCTAGCACTCTGGGAGGACGAAGCAGGATTACTTGAGCTCTGGAATTCAAGACTAGCCTGAGCAAGAACGAGATCCCATCTCTACTAACACTAGAAAAATTAGCCGGGCAGCATGGTCCGCACCTGTGTCCCAGTTACTGGGGAGGCCGAGGCAGGAGGATCGCTTGAGCCCAGAAGTTTGAGGTTGCAGTGAACTATGATGACACCACTGTACTCTACCCAGGGCAACAGAGCAAGGCTCTGTCTCAAAAAAAAAAAAAAAAAAAAAAAAAAAAAAAAACCCTTCCCTTTCTAATGATTTGAACAATAAAAGCAGACATTCTGAAAGAGTGAAGCTAAATAGAAAATTCTAGGCCACATCACATACACATGCAAATCAGACATCCCATTCCATTGACCTTACCGTGTAACAACTGCAGAGTTTTATTGTTGTTGTTTCCATTTTTAATAATTTGACTAATATTTATATTTTAAAAATAATTTATATGCCAATCCAGAACATTATAAGCAATAATCAAATCTGTATAACGACTGTATAACGACTGCAAATAGAATGTCTTCTCAAGAGCCCAATTTCCTTTTTCACTATTTCAGAGTCAGACACTTAACAACGCTATATCCACGAGTCTTACCTCTGCAGCTAAATAGTTTCCAGTTGCAAGATGTTTAAATCTGAACAAGCTGTTCCACTGTCCTGCACCCCCACGGCATGGGTCATGATGAACCACCTACAGACAAAGAGAGCAAGAACAACGACAAAATGATATTCATGTTCCTGGCAGACGAATGCCAACAGTTTACATGGAATAGCCTCCTGTTTATGCTGACCTGTCAAATCTAATATATGTTTTCATGAGAGTACAATGTGGCAGAAGAACAAAATTCCCCACAAATAAGCAAGAGACATGTTAGAAGAGTTGTTAACTCACTGTGCATACATGACACTCATGCCTTACATCTGCAAATACAACCTTACTCAGAAAGGCAGGTTTCCAAGACCAAGTCTGGAAATGCTGGGAGGTTTCCCCCCATTTGTTATTCAAACATTCATTCAGTAGATTGTATTATGAGCCTACTATGTGCCAGGTACATTTCAAGGCAAGAAGGACCCAGCAGTGGATAAGACTAGAGCTTTCATTCTAATGGAGAAGAGAGAGAACTAGCAAACAAAGAAATAAATGAAATTTGACAGGTGCCATAAAGGACCCATACACAGTGCATGACTGAGTAACCAGAGAAGGAGACATCAGATGTAATCAGCATGGGCCACTTGGAGATGACATATGAGCTGAAACCTGGAGGATGAGAATGAGACAGGCATGCAGGAAATGGGAAGAGATCATTCCAGGCAGAAAGAACTACGAATACCAAGGCCTGGAGGTCTGAACTAACTTAATTCTTGGCCATTTCCATGAATGCTTTTACTGGCACCATGTCCTTTGATGCCTGTCCTGGGAACTGGCCTTGCCCAGGTGCTGAGCCGCTAGGCTCACTGGGAATGGAAGCAACAGGTCTGACACAGCTGGTGCTACAGGGCAGTGGAACAGCTCAGGCCCTACAGTCAGATGACCACATTTGAGACCCAGCTCCACTGATTGCTACAGTCTGATCACAGCAAGTAATCAAACATCTTCAATGTACAAAATGGAGTTAATTTACTGGATGGTTGTGCAGATTAAATACCATAAGGCATGGCAGAGTGCAAGGATAACGTTTCATTATTCTCCCTCAACAGATAACCTTTTTGTTAGTACTAACCACCCTTTGGTTCCTACTGTTGCCAAAAATTTTATGCTAACTTATTTAACTTTCTAATGCCTTTTGCTAGACTCCAGTTTCTACATCTCCCCCTACTCTATAACTCAAATAAGATAATAATTATGAAAATACTTCAAAATGCATGAAGTCTTAACAAAACACTCCCTCTGTGGCCAAAAACCCACTCAACCTTCAAGGCTCAGTTCTCAAATCAAACTTCTACAAATCCTTTGCTAATCACACTGTCCCCTGTGATCTTGACAACGTTTGAATTTTTACTCCTTTGGAGAAGGCTTTAAGAATCTGATAAAATCTATTGCTTGTCTCACACATACACATACATGCACATATGCACACACACATACACACACGGTTTGCATATAATTGCTAGGGTTAACAAATAACCTGAAGCTTATCGTAGCCCCTGGACTAGGAACTACTCTCACATATATTAAGTGGGTCCAGCAACGGCAGTGTAAAGGACATTTTGGAGATTTGGAAGGGAGGGTGTTTTCACTTATCATGAGGATGTTGGAGGGACGCTATTGGCATTTAACAGGCAGTGGCTAAAATATTCTGTATCCTACAATTCACAGGGAAGTACAGCCTGTGCTAGATATTGTGTGCAGCCCTCAGGACAGTCTCCACCCTTCTAAGTGCTCCTCGACCACAGGGGCTGGAAGCCTCACCCGGCATTCCCATTAGAATGGAAAGCAGAGGAAGGCAGGAGAGAGGCTCCCCATTTGGCTGCAGTACAGTGGTGGCAGCTGACGAGTGCAGGCTCCTTCAGGGTGAGTGGGTGAGGACACCACAGCACACAAGGAGAGGCCTGCAGGCTCAGAGGAGGAGCAGTAGTAGCCAGACCTTGACATAAACATACATCCCCTGCTCCAGTTCTCTTCCTCCAGCCCTTCCAATAATGCTGAACCTAATTCCCTACATTACACACCTCTTTGCTTGAAATGCCTGATGCCCACCCTAAGCATGACACTCAGCCCTCCTGAATGAAGCCCGTCTGTTACAGCACACAGCAGAGAAATGTCCTGCAGTCTGCATCTTTCAAATCTCCTACAAAAATAAACGTACTGCAGGTATGAATTAGTAATACTTCAGTATATAATCACACAAAAACATTTTTACATCAAGTTATATGAAAGGTCCAATAATTTGAGAGAAATTTGTTATGGAGAGGGAAGTTTAAATGAAGTAAAGACATTATCTCAAAATTATTAAGTTATTTATTCATTCCTCTTCTGACTGCTCAATGTATTATAGTATTTCTAGATATGCATTTTGATGGAAGGGGTTTCAAAACAGTGGTACAGCTACAGCAAAAGCTATAAAACTAAAAGTAAATAAATGAGAGAATTTTCAAAACTCCTTTTAACAGACTTAGAACCAATATTAAGTAGGCAGAGACACATGAAATGCAGGGAACTCACTGTATTTCATTAACACAGCTTTTAAATAACATCTCACCTTATTGCTATCCCTACTTTTTTTAAGTTTTTGGAGAACAATGATAAGAAATCTATTGTATGGTGCACACCTGTAGTCCCAGCTTGTCCAGAGGCTGAGGTGAGAGGATCACTCAAGCTCAGAAGTTTAAGGTTACAGGGAGCTATGAGCGCACCACTGCACTCCAGCCTGGGCAACAGAGGGAGACCCTGTCTCCAAAAAAAGGAAAAGCAAAGAAAGGATGGAAGAAAAGAAGAGAGGGGAGGGGAGGGTACGGGAGAGGGGGGGAGAGGAAAGGAGGAGAGGAGAGGCCATAGCTTACATTTTCTTAATTACTCTACCACGTTGCCGCATTTAGGAAATACTTTTTAAAGGATAAATGAATTCTTAACTATGGGTCCCCTGATTCCCACAGACATGGCATTCCCCAAAAGAAATAAGCGTTGTTCTCCTGAGTGACTGTGTAGTTCTGGAATCTACCTTTACTCAAAGCAAGGCATCCTACTCTATCTTAACTCCAGTGCCATTTGAGGCACATGGCCTCCAGGCTGATCAGTCTTGATAACATTTCACAATCAATTTTTTAAAAAGTAAAATTATATCTATGCCCTTACTAAATGTGTATGTGTGTGAGAGAGAAAGAAAGAAAGAGAAAGAGAGAGAATGAGACATACCACAGAGATGACAGGAGAAGGAAGCAGTTCCTTTCAAATTGGTCACAGCAATGAAGGGTACAAGTTGGTTCACAAAAGTTATTCTGTTTTATGGGTCTATCATAAACGATGCCTATAACAATAAAACAACCAGCCTAGTGAACCTTATCTTTTTGATCTAAATATTGATTAAAAGCAAAATATATATATATATATGTATGTATGTATATTTACATACCTCTACTTCCCAGAGTGCTTTAGAACTAGTGGCAGAAGTTGCTGATTGGCGCAAGGTTGTTCGAAGGAAAATGTGCTGTTTTTTCTCGTATTCGTCGCAAGTCAGAAACTTCTCTTGTTCCGCATGAAACAATCTAACAACGTCACCCTAGAAGAAAAGGTCAAGAGACACTGTATTTCCAAAAACCATGCGAATGAACAGACATGAGAAGTAGGTGTCTCTTCCTGGTTTTGATACTCTGGGGCCTACTGCTAGCTACTGGGCTTTTAATGATTACCTATACATTTCAAAATATTTGGTCGGGGAGACTCAGTGAAACATTCAGTGAGTATTAAGGTTGTAGTCACTTTCTAAATTTTAAACCCCAGTGGATACATAAGTTTTACATCTAGAATTTCAGGAAGACTGCCTTCATTTCTTTCAGTAAATGTGCTATGCAGCACATACTTACTCCTTTTAATACATCCTCTCGGTATGAACTGTATTTCATGAATAAAGTGATTTTCCAGCTAGTGTTGCAATTAACAGCATTCACCTATTAATGAAGAAATATTAAGAGTTATAAGACTACAAATTCCATACTACACCAGAAATTAGTAGTTCAACTAGTAAAAGGAGAGAAACAACAACTTTGATCAATGAGGCATGTAGCACAATACAAATATCTTCAAAAGACCATCCAAAAATAGCAAAGACTAATTGTTATCTACATGTACCTTAGGAATATTAATTAGAATAACTAGGATTATGCTCATGAAAACAATGAAAGAAACTATATGACTTTTTTTTTCCTCTCTTTCATGAGAAGATAGACAAATTCATTCCTTTTCCTCTTGAACTTACCTCTTTACACCCTGGGTTGTCAAGAAGTTCTATGTTGCTGGCGTGCAGTGGCTGTCCTGCATTCACGGGCATCAAAACAACTTTATCTCCTACAACAATCTAGGAATCAGAGATAAATTTCAATTGAGACACTGCATGGATCTTTGGCACTATATTTGAAGCTAAAAATAACTGCACAGGAATCCACATTATTGACCTGACACCTGGTTCTTTTATCATCCATACAAATTTTAGTTCAATTCTTTTTCTCTTTGAGGTAAAATGCCTTCTAATAAATGATCATATAATCATGCCCCACAGCGCCTATCCATCTGGATTCATAAAGCTAGTGTAAATCTTTTTCTTATTAGTCTCCCATTTCAGTTAGAGCTTTCTTAAAGTCAATAAATAGGCCATTATCCCTCCACATGAGGTCTTATGCCACAAGCACAGCAGATACAGGCATTTGCCACCAAAAAAAGCAATCTACCCAAATATTGGAACCACTTCAAGGGCAACTAGAAGATGTTATACACTTGTATTATCTCTGCAATGAGAGAAAAGCCTGGTAATTTTGATCTTCCCACAATCTCAGAAATGTATTAAAAATTCTAATAGTGTCTAGATTTCAAAAAGGCAGAATTAGGTAACCTTGTAGAAATATACTCTTTGTTTGGGCCTTGAGCATGTGGTTCACACTTATTTTTAAACATCAGAAACTAATATTGCTCCTTAAACCTGGTGTTCATTTTTATTTTTATTTTATTTTTTAAATAAAAACTAACATTGGTTATGGGAAAAGTGTTCTAGATAAGTAAGTCTAAGTTGATTTTTTATTTATGCTATCATAGCATTGTCTACTTTATCTTCAAGTATTTTTATTCAAAAGTCAAACTGTGGGGAAGTGAAGTTATCCTTTCTTAATGATAATAATGAACAGTTTAATTTTAGTTATCAAAGTTATTTATGTTGCTAAATTTGTTCAGAGGACATATTATTATAATGCCTACACTTCAATTAAAGAATTGATCACCATCTCAGAAATGAAACCAAAACCTTTTCCTTGCATATTTTATACCAATTAAATATTTGAATAGATTGGTAGATCAATGAAAAACAAAGTAGGACTCAGTCAATATGAGTAAACAGAACTTCTCCAGGTGCTGTATCTCAACCTAAACCCAAACTTTAAGAAACATCATTTCATATTTTCACTATCAGATTATCCACTATATGGATTACACAGAGGAGTCTACACTCACAGATGGTGCTATTGTCACAAACTATATCTGGATATCAAAATACAATGGAGAAGCCTCATGCTCACTAATCAAATAAAGGAAAGCTGTTCTTTGGTTGGTAGAAATAGCTTCTGCTGTTCGCAGGACTAGTCTCTATCCATCACCCTACCTTCCAAGTCCATAATAAGTCAGATGTTGTGACTCACAAAGCCTCATCAGACGAGCCCTCTATGTGCAGATAAGGAAAGATCATCAAGGAACAGTGTTAAGTGAAAAGATGAAGGAGCAGAGCAAGGCATACAGTATGCTATCCTTTGTGTAAAAATGAGAGGAAGAGAATAGGGATGCATGGATAAAGAAATCTGTCCAGTGGTTAGCTGTGGAGGAAGGGAGCTGGAATTGGACAGATGGGAAAAGGGTAAGAGAGAGACTCTTCACAATATATCTTTATATTGCTTTCTATCTTTGAACAAAAATTGGTAGCTCTTTTAAAAAATTAAATTATAAACAAAAACAAATGAAAATCAGCATGACATAAGTATATTTCCAACTCCCTACCCACCCCCCAAAAAAACATTTGTTATTGCCCATGACACCAAGGCAGCTCCAAGTCGCAGAACCATGTAGAGACCCAAGCAGTCATCCACACCATAAATTACTGGGAGCTTGACACCACGTTTTGCCAGTCTTACATCTGGTCTTCCAATTTCTTGATAAACAATTGGATTCGGCTTATTATTTCATTTTCATCTGTATTATATCAAATATTAGCCAATAATTTGCTATCTATAATGATATATTTTAACTATGTCCTTCCAATTCAACAAATCCTTTTGGTTGCACCTATAGTCACTGCTCTAAGTCTTACTATTTTACTACAGTTATCTGTAAACTTTGGGTCAATCCATATGTTATATTTACTTCACCCATAAAGCCTTATACATTTTTAGGAGGCCAGCCATATAGCCAAAATATTCCTTGATGTCTATGAAACAGCTTCCAAGGGTTCATGAGAACAGCATTCACAAGTAAAATCCCACTTTAATTTACTAATTTTCTAGTCCTCGTTCCTATTCTTGACAATGCCTACCTTGATTAATCAAGCTGAATAAAACTTGCAAATGATATGGACGAGATGCCAATCACATGAAATAAAAAGAACATTAAGAGGTGCCAGGAAGAAAACAAAAGTGTGGAAGAAATAGTCTCTATTCTCAGGAAATTCATACCTAATTAGATAACTTGGCAAATATGGAACTTGGTAATATTTTCGGAATAGTGCAGCTTGGGGCCTGATCCACACATAGGATCAGATGCTTCCTGAGAAGCTGGATATTTAACACAGAACTTCAGGGTGAAATCATTTTCTGCCACATCCTAGGATCTGCCATTGCATTCACTCTAGTGCACGAACATCTTTTTTTTTTTAATTGCAATTCCAAAAGCATTTCTGTTAATTCTATATAAAAGCCATAAGATTGAAGCTGGTATTTTGCTGAAAATAAAGAGAGATATAAGGCCACTAGCAGCTACCCTTCTTTTGAAGTGGCACCTGGTATGGTGAAAAGAACATCACAATAGGAACTGAAACACCAGGGTTCTGGTTCCACCTCTGCTAGAAATTCAAGGCATATAGGTTTTTTTTAAATAGCAAAATCTACTTGCTATTTGAAGAGTTTCTTTCCCATAGTAGTTAACATTTTCTCTGATTTAAAGAATATATGGCCTTTTTTCACTTTTAAAATCTACCATCAAGGTAAAGAACCCACATCTTCTTAGATCAAAACTGAAAATGAAAAATTAACTACTCAATCCCGGGAAGACAAATGAAAATGAAATATTTATGTTCTCTGCTCATGGTTGTCCCCAGTGACTTTCTAACAATTCAACAGTAACCAAGGACTTTCTACACAGTTGAAAGCTGAGAGATCCATAAATCTGCCTTTCCCCCAAAGCCACGCATCCCACAATTACATAAGCCATATCATAAGAGTACTCTCCCAGACTATCATTAGCCTCATTCTTGCATTTCATTTGGGTCACAGAATATGTTGTTGGATACTTACAATCGAAATTGTAACACAACTATTGCCAAATAGTAAAATAATCATCTTAAAAGTCCTCTAAACATTGCAATTTTCTCTTTTTAATTTAATATGCTTTTAAAGAAAATTGGTAGTACTTGAACCACCAGCTATGAAGTGACAGTATTTCCAATTGCCTTCAACAAATTACAGTAGGTTTATATTTTAGAAAAATGCTATCTATTTTTAGGGAAGAAAATGACTATTACAATACAATTATTTATGTGGCCAAGAAAGGGCTGTGGGTGTACTTATGCTTTCACAGCAACCTTATTCACACACAAAAGCTACACAGTGGCGAACAAAAACAGTGAGCTGTTTCAGCAAAAAGCAACGTGGAAGGTTGTTTTAGCCATGCTTTACAGAGCACATCTAGATGAGGAGAACTCACTCCTACATTGCACTTAACAATTACATTGTCCATTTTCACCGAGAATGAGTGTTTGAGTGATAGGTTTTGTTTTGTTTTGCTTTTCCAGTTTGACTAATTATTTGAAATAGTTCATTACATTCAACTCTCTATTGACTCTGTAAAGTGATTTAGAAGCAGGGAAAGGAACAGATAGGATGAATAAATAAAGAGATAGAATAAATTTAATAAGATCCACAGCTATTCCAAAGGCCCCAATTTATTCAATCATTTCATCGCATTCCTTCAGAGCTTGAGCTCAGGTTTTGTTTGTTTTGATGTTTAATTTTCATGGGTCACCTACAGACAGGTCACTACTCCATTGAGGGTTGGGGAGAGGAAGAAGCATTGCCAGAAAGTGCATCAAAAGATACAAATAGTTCACAAACTGCATAATCAGTCCCCAAATAGTTGAGAGTTGATTGTAATTAACTACCTACTGAAAATAAAATATGTATCATGCTCACAGCACACATCACTTGATGCAAAAAAACATAAAAAGTAGGACTTATTTTATTTTTTACAGAATCCAACCAACACAAGACATAAAGTGCATTACATTCCTGCATGCCATGCTTCTGCCAGACCTTACCTAAGGAAGATATCACCAGATAATCTACTAACCAAATTAAATCATGAAGCTTGCATCCTGTGGAATTAAATTTGTACTTCAAAATTCACTGGAAAAAAATAGGTTCACTATAAAAAGAAGACATTTCTAAGACAAGAAATATTCTATAACACATTAAAAAGGTAATCAAAGTATGTATTGAGAAAACTGTCAGAATAATTACACTTTTATATTGCTTTGAATTCATAATGTTAATTTTTTAAAATCTCAACTATTGATCACCTAACCCAATATTTGTAAGGTGTTCTATTTACAAAAGTTATTTAGTGTTCAGCGTTAACCAGCATTTACTGAGCATCTCCCATGTGCTAAGAACTGTCACCTGATACTCTATTACACACACAAAAAAATCCAACTATTGATTCTATTGAATCATTTCTCATAATTTTTTTTCTCTATTCTGTAAGGTAGCAGAAAATATTCTACCAACTACTAAAATTTACATGACAATACACACATATTCCACAATGTATTTTAAATATAGTTGTCATCAATGAACAGATGCCAACCTACAGCTCCTCACACATTACATATCTATTAAGGCTTACAAACTGTAAGAAGCTGGCCAAAAAAGCAGTAAATGGAATATTGTCACAAATCTCAGTGTCACTCTATTAATTCAAAGGGGCAGACACCATTTCCTAAATATGGCTCATTTTCCTTATAACCATGTTCCCTCCTCATTAGGCAAGAAAGCAAATTCTGCTTCTCTTTTATAAGTCTGAGCCATTACTAAGGTTGCTTAAGTTCTTTCACACATATTCTAGTTGGCAGATGATTTTCAATTAATCTAAGCTTTGCCTGTTACGATTTCTGAGCACAATTTGTACTATAAAGCTATGTGTTTAACCTAGTAAAGATATTAACATAAAAATAACATTATTGATTAAAAACTGTATTTTCTTTCTTTGTACTTTCTGGATTCTCTTACTTATTAAGAATTATTTTCTTTATGAACCCACTATTTCCCTCTTAATTTTATATTTACATACATTGTCACCCTCACTTCTCAGCTTCCAGAAGGGATGAATATAAAACCAAGACCCTTCATTTCCTGCAGCATCCAAGGACACACGCATGGCATTCTTCTCCAGTAAAGCGGGTAATCTCTTGTTGACAGTCAGATATTTGTTGCTTTTTATATGCAGTAGCTGTAGGGAAGAGACAGGGATTACCACCTTTATTCTTTGGTCTCCTCTGTTAATCACATTTATGTATTTATACATATATCATAGCCACACAACATGGCTTGAGGTGGAGATTAAACAAAGGAGCTGTTTTCGGACTCCACGCTCACCATCTTTCCAACCTGACTTTCTTTGGGTTCCTCCTCACCTCCACCCCCAATTCTGCTGCATAATGAAGTGGGCGTGAACAGAAAACAAAGCAGGGGACACCTCTGAATGATTGTCATCTATCGATAAATAACAGAATAAAACCGGGCTTTCCAAAGGAGACCTGGAGCTTCCCCTAAACTATGTCCTTTCTCAATGCCTACACAGCCACAAAAACAGACTATGCTAAGGAAAAACCAAGAAACTAAAACAACGCCTGGACCCACTTAGTGTTATTAACCACCCCTGCCCACAGCCAGCCCTACTTCTTCCTCTGTGAGGACACAGACCACAAATCCCAAACAGGCTCTGCAACTTCTGCCAGAGGACGCTGATCCATGCTGATCCTACCACCTCTCACATGAGTGTACAAGCACCATTTCTCAGAGTCCATGGACAAAATCTTACCAAAACATGAGTCTACGGAGTAGGAAAACCAAACCAAATAATCTATGATTACAATCATTTCAAAAAAGAATGGCAATTTTAGTACCTGCGAATTTATCTCAAAATAAAGGGCAGTTCTTTATGGGAAAAAAATCAGCTTTTTGAGATGCTCGTTGTCATACCCTTGGTTCCCATGTTACCATAAACCAGTGGAAACTCTCGTGGGCCGATGGGATCCACTGTGCTGAAGCATGTGGCTCAGTTCCTAACTGACCAGGCAAACGTTTGCACTTCAGGCACTTGACAAGGAACATAAGCTCCACTTGCTGACACTTAATATTAATCAAAACATAGTTAAGAGAAACTCTGTTTATGGAGGATTGCCCAAGGGACATGCAGCTCACTCACGCTGTGAGTATCACGTTATCTATCATTAGATTACGTCCCAGGAGCTGCAGACCCAGGTTCTCTCATCTCATCCCATCAGGAAACTGCTTTGACTGCCTTGTGCTCTGACATTTTGTCACTGGCCAATAACAAAATATCAGGGAATATTATTTTTAAAAACAGCTCTATGAAACACCTCATTGTAGTATTTTCTGTAAGGAAGTGAAGGCTACTGTTTACTGTATTAAACAGTATCCTCTTTATGAGTGTGCATAGGAGAAACACTTCCCTGGTCCGATTCCTGGGAACAGCTGTGCTTCTAGACCTCTCATTTGGCTCTAGGTATGGCCCTACTGGACCAATGCCTTAACATACTATGCTTCCCTATAGCTAAGTGGGCAACAAAAAGACCTCGAGCCAAAGTTTACCAGACTTTACAACATGACTTTTATGAACATGCCTCACCCCTGACTTGAGCTTATTCATCCAACCATTATTTTCCCTTTGACCCAACTGCCTTACTTACTTCTATTTTATCTTGTTATGTGGTTGTGTATTTTGGAAAATGCCTTACATTCTTTTTGGAACAAGGTGGGGCATATCTTAACAAATAACCAAGTAAAAAGCTAAAAAAGATCTAAATGAAGCACAGGAAAGGAATGCAGATGAGATTAATCAGAGTGTGCACACTAATTGAAATGTAAGAACTTCAAATAACAATTCAAGGACAACTTCCATCTGAAAGTACAATTCGAATACTTTCTCTACGAAATAAAAAGATAGAGCTCCGTATGTTAAACATTAGTCCCATCAATCTAAAGGACTATTTCATTACAGGCCTTTAGGAAGTGTTTCCCTACCTTCTTCCTTTTGATGTGATAACCTGTGCATACATCCAGATAAGATCATTTATTAATGGATGAGTATACATCAGACTTAAACATATAGAATAGTGCACTGAATAATAACTGAATATATCCCAACATCTATAATTCCTACCAAAGAACAAACTATTGTATCTCACAATTTTAATGCAGTTTGGCCTTCCTACCCACAAAATATTCACCTCTTTAAAGAGAAAATAAATACTTACTTGTATAACATTACTGTATTTCACAATTTCTCCCAACAGTTTCTTATTCTCTGATTCATTTTGTTTTTGTTCTAGTTCTGCAGCATGCTGTAAGAAGATTACCAAATATTCAGTGTGGAAACATAATAAACAGGGTACAATAACTGACAAACAATAATTTTTTTAGGAACAAAGAATACACCTAGAAATAAAATGAGCTGGTAGATTTACTCTTGGTGCTTGGAGACAGAGGGAGGAAGGGAGCAATAATTAAATGGCTATAATATAGTATGATAATTTCTCAATTTATGCTGAAATGCAGACAAAAGAAGTCTTTTGCTGCTTTTATGTGGGAAATTTCAGAATAGTACTAAACTGTTTGGTCTTATAAAATTAGTTAAAGAAGGAATGTTTCTTAAAAAAAAAAAAAAAAAAAAAACAACCAGGATAGTAGGTGAATTTAAAAGCCTCAAAGTTTTCAACTCTAAAAGTAATAGAAATTTAATGATGCAAAATTAAGTTCTATCAAATTTATACACAGCCAAACCAGAAACAATGGTCTTTCAATTTTTTTTTCCCATAGGCTTTCAGGGGAAAAAAAATTAAGTATTACGTCAAGTAAAATATAACTGGATTTAATACAGAGATTCTGAATTGGTTTAGATTTTGATGTAAAGCTTTGAATTATTCTGGCACACCCTAAAAAAGTGCAGCAGTAATGTGCTACCTACGTGCCAGGAAATAAGTGGTCGCACCCTATTACTTAAAAGTCCTTTCTACTTTCAATGTGTTGCTACATCTATTCTAAGTCTCTATGCATTAGGAAATCACAAAGCTAGAAAGCTGCAAATGCATTTTTTGTTATTGCTGTTCGTGGACATGGAAGCCTGGCCCTTACCTGTAGTTTCTTCAGCAAGGCTGCCTCTGTGTGGTTCCCTTGTTTGGCTTGCTTGGCTTTCCAATATTGCTTCTGGGCAGAATATCGGTTCATAGGGCACACCTTGAAAAGGCAGTCTACAACAAACCAACAAACAAAAATACTGTAACTAAGGCTACCAGCATTTCTTAAATTTCCCTTATCACCTAGTTTTGAAATCTTGGAATCCCTGAGTATAAGAAACATTTTAAACGTATAGTCCAGCCAATTCTTAAATTTGTTCTATAACATCCTTTTCAAATAATTATTTAAACTCAGCTAAAATATCCCCGTCTTCAGTAGTGTAAGTTTTTTAAAGACTATTATAGCCAGTGTAATTCGTAAAGAAGTCAAATCAATGTAATTGTTATAAGGCATTTCTTAATTATGGTGGGGGATCTGGTCTTAGAAAGTGAATGGAATGAGATTCATGGCATTCACTGCCTTATCTCACTGTGCAAAATTGATACATATTTGTGGTATGTATCTTTGATGGCCAAAGTGATGCAGGAAGTAGAAACACTCCCAGCTGACGATTAGAGTCTTCCATTCCCCAGGTTTCCAAATACCTGGGTGAATATGGTGCGGCAATCTGAGAGGCAGTGTGATATGACGAAAAATAAAGCAAAAGAAAACAAAAAATGCAAACCAAGATTATAGTCCTGACTCCACTACTAAACATCAAGATAGAAAATCATAGTGAAGTAGTATAGTGAGTGATATCTCTAAGTTAAAAAGAAAAATACACGTTTTCTTTTTAATGAGGAAAATGGAAGGACTAAACAATTTCTCCATATGCAAATGATTTTGTATGCTTGTGGAACAAATTGCAATCTAGAATAAAGGTCAAATCCCAGTATTCTATGATAAAGGAGTAGTGATATAGAAAATTCCAACATTAATTTCATTTTCTCACAAAAAATTGTAAGAATTTGATTTTACAAATTTCCTTTATTTTGGTTGATATGTTAATATTTATAATCATTGTCATTTTTCAATTATGTGTCACAAAAATAAAGTTCAGTCAACTCAAATATCCATTTTAGCCACATTATTGACTATTTTATAATAATAATACACTTATTCCATTATTTTCTTTAAAATTAATTATATTTTAAAAGATTATCAAAAAAAAGATTATCTTTTTGCTACATCAAGAATAGTTTTTTATTAACTTTTAAAAATTTAAATTAATAATAAAATATTCAGTCCCAATATTTTCACAGGCAAAGTCCTTTTTGCCTCCATTCACAGACCCTTTCTTTGACAAATGTTTTTACAACAGAAAATCTATCAAACAAATTACCTCTACTTAAGGCTTAAGATTTCTTGACATATTTTACCAAATTTAGATCCTGCAAAATTATAAGCTCTCTCAATTTTACTTCATTCTGACACAGATTATAAATTTATCTAATTAAATACAGGAACTCTATCAAAAGATTCTTCCTCCAAGTCAGGATATTTCTAAGCATAATCCCATGATTTCAAAATTAAATCTTGCCTGCCATTTTATACTCAGTTTAATTTGTTTAATTTGTTCCATTCCTCCTCTGCTAAAAGATGATCTTTTTAAAAATTTCACTTTCTTATGGTTCTAATGACATAAATGATCAAGAAATATGACCGTAAATGTTTTAAGGAATTTAGAAAAGGCAAAAGAAATGATGACTTTTTTCTATATCTCGTAATTATAAACACAAATTCTACGGATTGCCCCACTCCTCCATGTGCACACAAAGCTACAGAAAAGTAATTCTTAATTTCTAGGTTAAAAGGTACTATTATGGATGAGTAAATATTTTATAGGTAGTTGAAAACAGATACCTTCCAGCTGCTAAAAGTAGGCTGAGAGACCAACAAAATTACAGTACAATACAGGAATCACCACTCAGCACATGCATGTGAAAACCAAAGACCTACACCTGAAAAATGTTTACCTTGGCAGCATATCTCACAAGCCCTAGCAGTTATTTCCTATACATTAGCAACTGCAAAGAGAATAATACAAATTTTTTGAAGCACAAATATAGAGATAGATTGTTCACAAATACTGCTAAAAGAGTGCTCCCAATTTAATGCTGCAGACTATTTTGACTACCCTGCATTACGCAAATGACAAAACTCTACATTGTCTCAGTGCAGCAAAAGCAGAAATCCATGTTCAAGTGCAACTGAACTCTAGAGCCTATACTTCTGACTTTATTCATGTATAAAAAGAAAACAAAAAAATTGTGTTCCTCTCCATTATTACAGATCCCCACTTAAACTCATTAGGAAATGGTCATTTGACAGAGAAAATATGTTTTGTAAATTATACACCACCCCCATAGCAGTCCTAATTGCTGGGAGCTGGTAAACAACCATGTCATAGTCAAACACTCCTGATTATGTGGCCGAGGTCACTGTGAAGTGAAGCCAAACACTGGGCCAGCCCGTGTTTTACTGTAATCCCCCTGCATGGGGTCATCCCCTGCATGCTAGGTGTTAAGACTCAGACCCTGTCCTCTGAGGGCTCACAGTCTACTGAAGCTTCACAATGGAGCTCTGGAGAAGGTGCTATGGGGCACAAAGATGCATGTGGCCAACTTCACCGGGGAGGGAGGTCAGAACAGACTTCCCAAAGGAGAAGGAAGGAGGAGACACAGCCAAATTTTAAAGAGCCAATACCATTCAGCACATGGGCAAGGGGGTTCCCATACTCAGAGGGAGGTGCATTCCAAATGAGCCAACAGCTGGTACAAGGGCAGAGAATGATGCTAAGGGAGCCACTACCTGGCAGGAAAACCACCACCTAGGCAGCGATACTAAAATGGAGTGGTACGCTGAAGTCAGGATCTGCAGGGTGTCATGTTCTGGGCTAAGGAAGATGGACTACATCCCATGGAAAACACTGAACTCTTAAAGCGTTGTAAGCTCTTACAGCATGTGAAAGGTGACATGAGCAGGAGGCAAGAAGACCAGCCCCAAAGCCCATGACAGTGTGAAGAGAGAGCCGGGGTCTGAACCCGGGCTGTACTGTAGCTTTTGGGTAGCCCTGGATTTAAGAGAAAGCAGCCGAACCAACAGGCTTAATAATTGACTAGATGTGGGGAAAGGGTGAGGGAGGGGGAACGTGAAGATGGCCAAATGGAACAAGCCTCCACCCACTCTGGCTGAGGTACAACGCCTCAGATGTCAAAAGCCCTTTTCATTTTCAGGGCCTCAGTTTCAAAGTCCCCCTCAGCAACCTCCCACAGGTGACATCTCATTTTACATCACGGTAAGTAACCGAATGTTTCTGCGTGGGAACGAATACTGCAGGGCTGTTTGAGTTGACAGGAAGGAACGCAGGGCACACACAGTCTCCTGTATAAAAGCTTTTATTGGTGGTGGTGAAGCGTGTGCATGTTTAATTCTCTCTCTGCCTTCTTTGGAACTCATAAAAAAAAAAAATCTGGTCTTGGACTAGTCACACGCTTTGTCTGATGCTAAATTTACTACATAATGAAAGTGTTAATAATACGTGCCACACCTAATTTGCAGGGTTGCTGAGGTGTGCAAAAAAATAATCTGTGTGAAAGTTCTCAGAGTTCTCTGAGAACTTTAAAGCCCTGTTAGAGATGTAAGGCATTATTATTGATATTGCTTCATTCTTTCAGCAATAGACTCGCCAAGATTTAGAGAGCTCTCAGCAAAGAGTAACAAAAGTAGAGTTTTCAGATGAAACCTCAACACACACCAACAGTGTGCCCAATTAACGACCAGATGTCTCCCCCTTTGGTTTGAGATGCCACAGTATGTTTTTGTATAAAATTCTCCACTTCCTTGAAACAGAATGGCAGTGAGCAGAGGATAAGATCTTCATTACCGTGTAACAGCTTTTCAAATATGCTGATGCAATCACTAGCACCAGTTTGGGCAGAGCCTTTGACAAGCCTAGTTTTTCCCAGCGTGCAGGAACTCAGCGATTTCAGGGAAACCACCTCATCATCCCTCCTTACCCTGCTTCTAAAACTATAGCCCTCTAGTGTTCCCTGGTCTGCTCATCCTCTAAAACTAGTGGTGAAATACTGCTAAGAAAAAAGTTCTAGAAAGTTCTCCAATTAGAAATCAGTTCTGCATCATTTTTTAATTAGGTTACAAAAATCTCTTCAGCATTTTAAGGCTCAAGAGATTTAAAAAAAAAAAGCATAGAGCAAGCATCAAAAGCACAAATAAAAGGAAGTAATTTTAGTTAAATTTTCTAAAAAGCTTAACCTTAAGATCCGAGGCCAACAGTTTTGCAGAATTACAGATATTCAGGAAATGTTAGTAATCCAACAAGACACGGTATGTTCAGTCAGGCAATATTATAAGAACAATGGCTTAGAATTAGAACTTTTTTTTTTTACAGCTGTGGAAGAAAATTAAGCCACTCAGAAGTGTTCACTTTAAATTGAAAGAATTGGCGGCATTTTTGCCTGCTTACAAATGCTCGCGGAAGGAAGAAATATGAAAACCACTCAAATGGCATGGAAGACATAACCCACAGCATGTAACCCTGTAAGTCAAAGAACCAACCTTCCAGTGTGATTCCATGGAAATCTGGCAGGAAACCAGTCTACACCTCCACTTACAATACCTGCCCAAACAGCTTTGAAATGTTTTGCTTTGTACCTGTAAAAGCACTCTCTAAAATAATTTGTTATCTGTGGCAATTTCTGCACCCCAGAAACTGACTATAGAGCGCCATTTGGGGCTATTGTATGTGTAGTTCAGGTTCTTACTTTTTCATTTCTCCTTCCTCCTAAAGATGTCTTAAGATTTAAATGAGGCAAGGCATATTAAACCATCCGCAAGTGGCCGTCACGAGGCAGGCATTCAATAAATGGCTCTTTCACAGTAGCTGTAAAATTACGTCATACTCATTATAGGGAACATGGCTGCCAGGAGCTTTATTATCTCCACGTGGAGAAAGGTGGGGAGGGAGAGCCTCAGGGGCTTTTCTTTCCCTCTTTATGATATAAAGAGGATGGAGAAGAGTTCAGCGAAGACAACGTCTCTGTGACAGAAGCACAAGCTTCCCTACGATAAAATGGAAAGCGGAAAGAAAACTCTCCCTAGAGTAAAGGACAGG